CTCTCCATAATGCGATCGGCCACTTGAGCCAATTCTGGAGGCGAGGTCTCCGGGTCTTGTGCGTCAAGCGCACACTGGACATGATGCGGCAGTGCATTTATCCAACCTTACTTGAGGATGGCTTCTCCAGCCGCATTTCCCCCCTATCTTTTGCAAGTGTCCCAAAAACTGTGATGGGGATCTATCTCCCGACATCTCCCCTTGTGGCAGACGTTAGATGCATCGGCTGTCTGACGTTTATAGACGGCTCATTACCTTACGCTTGAGCGTGGAACAAAGGTCTTCTTCAAAGGTACTGATCATTAGATCACGGACCTCTGTACTGACTGAGAGAGGAAGAATGGATCACAAGTCTTTGCATCTCAGTTTCTCTGACTTTATGTTGTGTCGATCAAAGAAATGTTCCGGCTGGGCGAACCACAGCTCTAGGTCTTGCTTATTGAGGGCTGGTAATCGATTCTTAGTGGCAACTAGAGTGTCAACCTTCAGTGAAACGGACTCTTCGACAATATCAGAATCAAAATCAGTAAGGTTAGACACTTTAAAAAGTTAAAATTAATAGATTGACAATTAAAATGAACAAATGCGAACGATATACGTCATCGGGCTCACCAGTGCTGGACCCAGGGGCTTATGGCGAACTCTCCGAACGATTTGTTTTAGACAACCACGAAGTAGCAAACAAAAAGGCAGTGGTAGAAGTATAACGTGTTTACTCCAAGCACTCTAGTGGGCAAGTCCAGCGGGCGAAATTCCACGAATGCATTGAAAGTTATTCATCATTCAGTTGCAGCCAGTGGTGAATACAAAGTTTACAACGGATGGAAATCATAACCAAGTTTACTGGCCACTATAAGTGATCGTTTTCAGATCAAGAACTTGCACCCCCCGCACGATGAGCGCCACTTGATCTGAGTATGTTGTTGTTGTGATGCCCCAGTTTTGTATAAAACATCGTTATCAATGCGAGCATCCTAATATGTCATTCCCACATTATTTTTACGGTATGACTAATAGTCTATTTCTGCCCTCATTTTAATGTAATTTGCTGATTGGTTAACTTTTACTCTTACTTTGCTAATTTCTGCAATTTTGGACAAGGTCATTTCTCATGTGTGTACTTATTCACGTGCTTTGGATCAATTCATTGTTATTATATTATATTCTCGGAGTAATACACTCTCCCATCTGCCAGCTTCGGTCTTCCCTCTATTCGTCCCGGGATTGCGGCCAGTGTCCCTTGCGTACCAAGTTGGCTGTCAGCTAAGCGTGCGTATTATATTCGTTCTGGAACATACATATACCATCAGCACTTCGAACTCATAACAGTTTTCCTTTGGATTAGCCTCACTGCCCCCTCTTTGCCCGCCAATAATGCTACTTTACATGTTAAGGACGCTTTGAGGGAATGGCCCAGTCACGCATCTTCGTTGGAAGCAGCAACATGGTCCTGTCGAGGTCTTGGTTGCCAGTCCGCATAGGATTGAAATCACTCCGGTTCTTGAAGCTTTCCCCCAATTTATGGGAAAGGTCTACGGTAGTAGAAGTTTCGTCAACTGAAGCTTTTTATGCATCAGCTTGCGCTCGTGTGGCAGGCGTTGACTGGAAAGATCTTGCAGGTCACCCTCTGTCTACTTGCCTGGTGGGCCCTTGTTTGCTTTCGAACATCCGCACTGCTCCGCACACACATTCTTTCACCCTATACGCGTAGAGCTTCCGCAGGTGAATTGTGAGGGTAAAATCGGACGTAGGGTGGTCAAGGAGCGTTGATGGGTTGGTCTCGGCAGTCTGCTAAAACTGTAGGCAGGTGGCTTAAGAAGGCCTGTCCTCAAATGCTACTGTTCGTTGTCGTGAGCTGTCACACTATGGCCACCTCTCGGTTCCGTGATTTTGTAAGCAATCAACGTGGCGTTTCTGTTTGCATCCGAAATTCGAATTTTCCTCTACTATATTCTTGGTGACTATTGCTTGTCACTATTACTCCGAATTTTGTAGGCACCGCCAGTATCTGATCGGCGTGGCGTGGGGGGCAGCCCTCGGCAACTTTTACCAGTTTCATAGCGGTTACCAGGGGCGACAACTTGCCTTGGGGTGTCTGGCTCCCTCGAGAGGTGATGGAGCTTCGGAAGGACAGAAGAAAGCCCCAGCATCTTTAGGTAGTCAGCCCACGCTTAACAGCTAGGCTCCGACCTCACCGCCGAAGGGGGAGTTTGTCGATCTACCGACACTTGATGACGTTATGGAGCTGCCTCTCCTTTTGCTTTCATTTGTCACAAGCGATGTGGCTGACTTATTAGTATGTTTGTCATGCTCATTTTTTTTGTCTCTCTGTGGCAATGTCAAGGGCGTTCGGGCGGCATTTAATCACAGACCTCATGCACAGCATCCATGGCCTCCGCATGCACTTATATATAGCAGGCTGCAGACCTGACTTTATTCTTGCCTTCCTCAGGGTTATCTTCTGATGCCTCCCCGACTTTGTTCAGAGAGGTCAATGTCTTTTGTGCGGTAGGGAGTAATTCTCCCAGCAGGCAGTTTTCTCTGTTCCAGTCAGATCCAGCAGAAACACTTGCGTAGTCGATTTTTGATGAGCTGAAAGTACTTTTGGGGTAATTTGCTGTCACACTGGCAATGCACCCTTCGTTGGCATAATCTACATGCACATGCCTTTTCGACGACTGAAGCAACTTTAGCTTGGACACCACAGTCATCAGACGTCATAGTGTCCTCACTAGGGTTGGGGCTGCAGTACGCGGTAAAACACACGAAGTTGATATCTTATTGCTTCATCTGCCACGACACTCTCTTTTTGAACGAGTCAGTTTATCCCGAACCGCGCCACTCCCGGAACTGCCTCTTGGCATTATGGGGCTACCGTGTGTCATTTGCGTGGTCGCTAAAGCACCTTAGGAACAACGGACGGTTGCTTCTTTGGGATGTCAGTAATATTTTCTAACTGTACCTGGCTGTTGCTGTCGCCATGTAAATTTTTACTCCCAGTATGGGACCTCGTAATCCGCACCAGTGCCTCAGATCTTCCATCAACATTATGACAGCATTATGAGGATCCCCGTTAACTGTGGTATAAAAATCAAGGATCTTAAATGCTGTGGTGGGGCAGAATGTGAGAGGGAAAACAGTTCTGCGCTGGCTTATCTTTGGACAATTTCCACCCCGTCCTCTGGATTTAGCCAGAGTTTAATTATGAGCCATGTGTGCATGTGGAACCGTGAAAGATGTTTCCCGGGGAATGACCTCCAGAGAGAACCGAAATTTATGGTACTTAGGGAGTTGAGACAACCGAAATCCGATGGCAAGAGGTAGAGAAGGCTGATCGGGTCCGAAGTCACTCGTTAAAATCCCTTGTAGTATGATTAGGACAACCCTTTGCTCGTGGTAAGATGTGAAGTGGCTCAGGTCCTGAAGTCGTCCCTCGTAGGTAAGGCTAGCTCCATCAAGGGGAACACGAATGGCTGTACGTTGTCTAGGTCACCTTCCAATGGAAAACTTCTCGCTTGCACTTAGTTGTTGGGCTTAGACCCAACTAAGGATGTGCATAGGACGGTAAAGTTTCGCGCTTGTTTGTATAAGCGTGCAGTTTAGTGCCAAAAGTGTCCTACAACTCCGAGGGGCAACCAATAGGCCTTCCTCTGGGGTCCTCGCATTCCTGCGACTCACAAGTCATCTCACGTCAAAACTGAGGGCAGAAAACTATCATCAGTATTTTAGATGTTGCCGCTTGTATGCTAAATGAGCATGCTTCAAAACCTACATGCTTTGATAGGTATTAGGTATTTTTTGACCAGGTCAGAAAGTCACATAGGTCTGTCTGGAATGTGCATACATCGTCGCTCTTAATTTCTAGCAGAACTTTTCTACCTTCAGCGGAGAAAGCCATGCGGTATTCTTGTGATATTCGAAAATTTATGCATGTGCAGCAGAAATAGCCAGGGATGCAGACTTGCAGGCGCCTTCGACACTGCAAGTGTCGTGACCGATGCCATAAACTGGCGTTTACGGTTGCATTATTCCTCGTGGTCCAACTTGATGTCCAGTTTTCCTTGTCACGGAAGTGGTGGAATGGTTCTTTTTTGGTTTAAGAAATGCATCTGGGGCAAACACCATTTTTAATTATACTTCTTATCAAGGTTTCCAAAGAAACAAAGCAGAATGCTGGTAAGATCTAACCATCGCGACACTCACGCTCCGGTTACTGCCGGTGAGGTCACTCACTAAGTCCGAACCTCATTCATCCCTACTGATCAAATAGTACATCCAACTGATCTTAGTTTTGACATCCGTTCTCCGCTTGAAGGTTTTTGGTGGCGTAGTTATCATCACCATCTAAGGAAGAGAATCCCATGGTTTGCATGTCCCTAAAAGGAAGGAAGCCACATGATTTTCCTTCAGACTTCTTCATTTCCAAAACGTCGGTCTGTAAAGTAGGGTAGTGTTATATGCTGTTTGACGTAGAATGATCATGCTTCTTCCAGTCTGTCTTGACCTCTCGGATTCGATGGATTATCGCTGAAGGTTGAGAAGTAACAAGGAGTTTTTTTGTATCGTACTGGATATACTGAGTCAGTGAGTTGATGGTGACCCAAAAAGCGTACTCAGCAACCAGTTTCTGTAGTCGCTGTCAAGCCACTTCAAGGTTCACCTACACTTATAGCCTAAATACATGGGCCCGCTATTAGATAGAAAGTTCACCAGAGTGCATCCATAATAATACGCAGTGACATTTTCGTTGCTGATAGAGTTATCCGATGGAATGGACATATTCTATCTCAGGTTTAGAGAATATCTGTCGAACTCTTGTGAATATTGACCAACTGACTGATTGTTCAAAACTCATTTGTATCCGTCATAAAACCACCCAGTGATATAGTTTCAGCAGATTGCAGTACGTTCCTAGGTCGTAAATGACCACTTGATCCAGTTCTCCACAACTTTTGTTTGTTTTTCCGCCGATAGATATATCGCATTTTTCGGTCACTAGAATGGCGGGCGATAACACGGAGATAGACTTATATGACAATATTGATGAGGATTTTGTTCAGGTATTCATTATACCATATTTCGTTAGTCTCTAGGAGTGTACCGATCTTACAGAACTTTATGATGATGTTATCGCTCCAATTAAGTCGGAGAATTCCTCAGGAGTTGGATCTGTTGTGGTACATAAACTTATATAAGCAAATTGTTTTAGCCTAACAAGCACTCATATAATCCGTCGAATTACTCTGGGCGTCGTGTCTCAGTATATGTTGGAAACTTGACATGGGTAGCTTTGAGTTATTGACTTGTGCGTATTATCATTCTAGTGGACAACAGATCTGGACTTATTAGAGGCAGCTGCAGGTATTGGTATCAATGATGTTGTTGAAGTTAAGTTTCACGAAAACCGTCAAAATGGGCAATCCAAAGGGTATTCTTATAGTCTACTTAAATTCATTCAATAGCTTTTGTGTAATGGTTTTTGGGTCTGAACAGTCCATGCGTTTGGCGATGGACAAGTTTCCAAAGATCGATCTTCATGGACAAAACCCTGTTGTCACAAGTTACACAAAACACAACCTCAGCGTTTTGAGAAGGCTGCGGGTAATGACGGACAAACAACCCCTCGACCTCGTACGGAAGAGATGCAAAGTGTCAAGGTGTCCGCAGGTAACTGTCACTTTCTGTTTTCACAGAAGTCAGCAGGAACAGCAGGTGTATTAGGTAACCGTCTACCACCTCCATTGATGGCAACACCTACGATGCCCGCATCACTCGGCTTTAGCGTACGGAACAACAGTCCTTTAATGGGACAAGTGGTACCAAACGTTCGGAACCCAACAAATTTGTCATCCAGTATTCAGCAGGCCCTTATTAATCACAACGTACAGTCAAGTCTGGGTGCCAACTCAAACATTGGTCAGTTACCTTTAAATTTCCCCGGATCAACGAACGTCCTTATGCCTCCGAGTGGTATTTCGACGGCGGCCTTAGCAGCTAATGCAACGGGACTTTTGTCATCTAATTTTTCTCTTCCCAGCACCATCGCTACATCTATGGCAGCAACGAATGCGCACGTCAATCCCAGCTTTTTAACACATCCAGTACCAGGGAACACTTCACTGTTACCAACATCGGTACAAACCGGTGGGTTGATGCAGATGACAACTCAGAGCAGTGACTCTAATATACGCCCTCATTTTGACCATTATGGAAGGCCGGTTATTCATACTTACACACCACGTGAGTCACTTGCATTTGCATTGGGTTTGTTCTTCATGTGATATTGTCATCATCTTTGGTTTGACGGATAGGTGCTTTTATGTGTTTCGCACCCATAACACCCTCCTGTCTCTTGTATCATATGGATCTAACTCGTAGGAAGGTAGCACAGATATTAAGAGGTTATTTAAATATCGTTTCTGTTGGAAAATGTTTCCGCGAATGTTACATTGGGAAGTCTGCCACCAAACTAGCGGTACTTATTATTTTGATCAAGCTATAAGTTAATTAGGACTTGAAGTGTTGATTTGCCAGTGCTCTAAAGATCTTCACCACACTGCCAAATTGTAAGTATTAATAATGTGACTCGATCGCATACAGATGTTAAGTCATTGGACCATGGTGGACGTACGAAGATCCCACGTACTTGATTACTTTTGGGAGTGTGAAAAACATTTCTTGCGCACCACACAGAATGTTGCTACATAACTGGTCTCCATCAATATGCAGTTCGATAACGAGGTGGAGTGGCTAGGCGCACTGATTACTTCGGAAGTTGCGTCAGCCATGGTAATTTGGTAACCGTCATAAAGCTGGTAGAGACAGGCAGTTTATCGGACTGCCAGTCAGGTTCTGAAGTATTGCACAGCACCAATAAGCAGTTGGTGTAGGCTTAACACATGTTTAGTTTGTACCCATATCGTAACTTAGGGAGAAATTGTGGCGAGAAACGATGAGAAAAAAGTTACAAACCGCAAACAGTATTTAAATGGGTTGTTTTTAAAAACTTAGGCTTAGTTATTGGAGCAGTTACTTCAAAGAATTTTTTCCTAGCTTTATCAATAAGCGTTTCTACTACTCAACAAATATATCACCCTCACGAAATGAGTTGTCTGATTACGTCTACATGTCATTGTTCTGGGCGTAAGTAACGTAGTTAAGTTGTGAGTTGTGATATAGATTCATAGATTGCGGCTATCAAATAAAAGCTTTCATTTTTATCCTTGGCTTTTGTCGGAAACTTAGTCACGGAACCGGTTACTCTACTGTTTTCATTTCAGTCAAAAAAGTGTGATATTTAGCAACAGTTAGATTGTTAGCCTACTCCTTCGATATTTTGGTCATCCCAACGAAGTTTCTTTATAGGCGTCTGCTTTATAAACCAACAATCCATGAACACATACGTTTTGTGCCCATGGGCGTTCAACATCTCGAGCTAGATACCAGTTCACATAGCTTCCGGACTTTCATTTCACGTTTCAGGTGTGAGACACATCAAGCTCCCAGTAGATCATGTCTTTTAGGTAAGTTTGACTGGGTAGTACTTAAAGTAAACATACATCAACACGTTTGTAATCAACTCAGAATTGCGTATCTGTAACAGGATGCGAAGGACTAGGATATCATTGCATAGACCAGGTCTAAGACGTCTGTTTGTAAAGTAAACTAGTCTGTTTGTGTATGCACACAGGTTGTCCTTTTTTTAATTTTCATTGGGGCTGCTTTTGCATGCTGATGTTAGGATTGATGCACTTTTGGGTGTTTCGGAAGATTGACAGCGGTGTGCTAAAAGTTCTATCACCAACTAAAATTATCCTCAATTCCTAATTTTAAAGTCAGATTCAATGTAGCTGTCACAGAAAGCTCTCTTATTCGGTCGTCTTAGTGATTCATTCACTTTTCTGCATCACACTCGCAACTCTGCTGCATCGCTTAAACTTAATTATTGTCGTATTTAAAGTTGGTGTCATTTAATTCAGCACTTTCGGCACATATGTGTTGGCCAGACAATGCTCTTAAAGGTATAGTGGGAATCTCTAAAGGCTTGTCACAACCGTTTGTTAGTAGCTGAAAAACACTGCTCTGTAAGTAGTCATCTAAACCATACTGTATAGAGTTAATGTTTACGTATGGGAATGTATTTCCCTCTAAACACGTTTAATTGAGCAGGGATCAGGGATGCTGTTCCATGAGTTCAAATCATTGTTAAGAGCTTCAGAGCTGAACAAAGATTACAGGTGATTTAGGACCTTAACCGAGAGATGTAGAGAAAGAAGTTCAAGAAGGTGGACACTGATCTGAGGGAAATTGAATACTCACAGGTTTGTGAGAGCGATTGACACTTCTGGGCTGCCCACACTTTGTAAGGCTATTTCTTGAGGTACTTAAAAGAAAAGAGGTAATGCGTGACAACAGAGTCCTCGGGACGTCTGCTTGATGCCCGTCACATAGCCTTTTTGGAAGTTTGACGCTTGAGTTTCTTAGTTTTAAAGTTAGCTATAAACCCAAGTCGCCGGTACCGGCATTGCGTGGAATGGCAGGGAGTGTGCTACTTTTGTGGCTGACCTTTTCTGATTCCCCCTTTCCATAGAGAAGGGAGCATCAGCCTAGTACTGCTGGTCATCCAAGGGAAACACCTCACTACTATCACACCAAGTCAGCATTACGGCTTCGCCCTCAGACCCCATCTTAATGTAGTAGTTTACGTTACAACGGTGACTGCTCTTCGTCTTACCTCTAACCAACAGACCTTACTGGTATGGTATGACTTCAGTGGAACAAGCATCGTAGCCAGTGTAGCTCGTTGGGTTATTGTGATATGCAAGCCCGACCACCATGTCTAGGTAGCAGCTGTTTGTCGGGCTGGTTTCACTTAACATCAAAGGCTTTAGGTTTGATCTCTTAAGATGATCTGCTTCAATTTGACCCATCATTAAGTATCTCAGCCCTCGAACCATGAACTAAGTTATTGAGAAATTCGTCAACCCTTATTGTGAGCAACCAGATATATCGCATTACGGATTTTATAATCATTGCGTGTCATGCTACTATCATTGATGTTGTCATCTTTTCGAATTTTTTCCTGGATCTTCATTCTCTCAGTTTCTCAGGATCAATAGGAATTCTAGTGTGTGCTGTTTAAAATCCCTGTCGATATCTCCTGCCTTGGGGCGGTAATCGGGCTTGCATGTCACAATGACCCAACGAGCTACACTGGCTAGGATGCATTTTGCTTGAGGTCCTACCTTACTAGAAAGGTCTGTTGGATAGTGGTTGGATGGAAAGTAGTTGCCGTTGTAGTGGAATTCCTATGGTATGATGGGGTTTTGAAGGTGAAGTTGTTCTGGTGACGGATGGAATTGTGTCACTAGTAAGATCTTCCTTTTGGATGACGAGCAGTGCCAGGTTGATTCTGTCTTCCGTATGCGAAGTGGCTTGCACCAACCTCAAACATGGGCATAGACATTGTCTCACTTGGAGTCCATCGAAACAAAACCAGCATTGGACACAGATAGATCATGTTTCTCTGAGGGATCGTCAAAGAGGGTCGGTGGTGGATTGTCAGTCTTGGGTACGTATCTAGACGTCGTTCATGCGTCATTACGGGTACGTGAAAGTCTATTCCATTCTGGTAGCAGAAATCAGGTAGCAGTGAAGCATGTGCGTAGTCGATCGGAAGGTGAGAACGTGAAGTATGGATTTAGGGAAGAGGAAGATAACTCAGCATTTATCTGAATGTGACAATGCTCATCTTGAGGAAGCCTGGGGTGGTGTTGATATTAAGTCTGTTGTAGGAACAGCGGTAAAGACAACTGCTAACCTATGCCCGGAGGTTAGCAAATGTCATTGGAATGCCGCGGTGCCATGCAAACTGATGGGTGCGAGAATACTAATTCCACCTGGCTCTGACCACGATGAAGAGCGAAAGCGGCTTAAAAGTAAGTTGACCGAAGGTCTTTGCGTAGACCGTGGGGATTGGTAAGTGGCAATCACAAGAGAGGGCATCAGTGCTGGTTAACACTTGGCAACTGTTTAGGTTTATTAAGGATATCGGCAAGAAGAAGACTATGGTGAGTAAAACGATCACCGAAAAAATTGGACGCTGATAACCTCCCAGGACAGGCGGCTAGAATGTTGAGCAGAAAACTTTGAAACAGTTCAGCTGGTCCTCATCAAAGCTTCAGTTGTCCAAGATCCAGCCTGAACATGAGTGCGACGTAAATGTTGATTCACCAACTCTCCTTGAAGGTGAGAAAGCTGTATCAAACTTGAAACGATGCAACGCAGCAGGACCTGACAGTTTGTCACCTGAAGTTTTCAAGGATGGAGGTAGGAAATCGATGATTTAAGTAACAGAGGTACTAGATAGTGTATGGGAATCAGCGATGGTGCTGTCAGACTGGTGTACTTAACTGAGCATCCCAGTCCATAAGGTAGAGGAACCTTCTTGTGGCAACCACAGGGGAATTAGTTTCACTAGTATTGTGTCGAAGATCCTAAGGTTCATTGTTATCCAACGCCTAACTGGAGCTCGAGAAGAGCAAACTCAAGAAAACCAGGTAGGTTTCAGATCTGGATGAGAGTGCATCGATCAGATCTTCACCCTTCGACAGGTCCTCAAACATAGAGATACTTACGTGCCAGTGGCGGATACTTCCCACATTTGTTAAGCTGAAGGCAGCATTTGATTCAGCTGACCGTGTGGTGTGGCAGTGTCTGTGAAGAGAGTATATAGCGCTAATCAAAGCTCTCTACTCAAACTCACGCAGCCGTGTCAAGGCTTATGTAGAGTTAGCGTGTGGATTGGCGACAGCTAGTGGTGTCCATCAGGGATACCCACTGTCACTGTTCCTATTCAACTTCGTTGTAGGTGCACTAATGAACATGACCTTTATGTGCCTGTATTTATGTGTGAATACTTGTTACTTGTTTGCAAAGCATGTCAGTTTGACTCATAGGATGCGTTGGTGACAAATCCAAGCGATTAGCTCACCAAGGAAGAATTCTCTGTATACTTACAGCATTAGATCTAACGACAACCCTGGTTTTGTAGTAAATATCAAACCAATTTTCGTCGGTTGTCCATCTGTAATGCTTTAAAGGGAAAGTAACTCAAGTAGTATTCTTAAGTTGAATTTAAAAGCATCAAAATACTTAGAGAAGTCTCATGATGGACTGCAAAATGTTGAAACAAAAGTGGATCGTACTACTTCAAAGGTTAATCATTTATTCAACTCCCTCACAACTGTTGAAGTGCTAAATTCTTGGTCTATACATATATGAAATTCATCTACGTAGAAGGGGAGTTTTACTCATGTTAGGAATAAAACGGGTACAACAATGACGTCAAAAGATGCTCTGTTCAATTTTTTAACCATAAATGTATTCGTAGCACTACTGGGATCAACATGTAAACAACGTTGGATTTAAGCATAAATTATTCACCAATAAAGATTGGTTGCTTGGTGAGGTTGTGAACCTTCACTGATTAAAGTTGTATAGATGCATATTGCACATACCGAACAACGACTTATGTCGGTGAGTGAGTTTTGCTGAAGTAGAAGTGCAATGGAAAAAAGCTTAAAGTAGCAAGACGAAAAGATGGTATCGATTCATGAAGTTCCTGGGTTTTGTTTTGAGCCATGTTGAGAGGTGCACGTTGCTTAGCTGGGGTCGTGGAGATGAAATAAACCAGGGACGTTTGGCGATATAACTGGAAACCTATCATAATGGTGCGAATCTTCGTCATCTTTGTGGTTGTGAGCACTTTCTTCAACCATTTCTTGTATTCCTTTATTCGAATACACCTTTTTCTGCCTGCATCCTTGCAGGCTCTGAGTACAATGATGAGCGAACGCAACTTTTATGTAGACTGACCGATAGCTGCTACCTTGACATGGTGGTCGGGCCTGCATATCACAATGACCCAAAGAGCTATGCTGGTGGAACGCTTGTTCTCTCGAGGTCCTACCATGTCAGAAAGGTCTGTTGGATAGTGGTTAGACGAAGAGTAGTTACCGTTGTGGTGTAAATTATTACACTGTGATGGTGTGTGTGTGTGTGTGTGAGGGTGAATTCGTACTGCTGTTAGCTGGATGGGGTGTGATATCAGTAAGGTGTTTTCCTTGGATGACCAGCAGTGCCATGCTAATGGTGTCTTCTCAGTGGAAGTGAGGGTGAGGGGGGTTAGAAGAGGTCGACTCCAAAAATAACACACTCGACCATGGCCTACGGTCTACCAGGCCCGGTGGTGTTGGTTCATTCCTCGTTTCCTTTCCACCATCGGGCCCCAAAACAACAGAAGTTCAAAATAACGGTACACAAAGGGCTGAGTGTGACAGGCTTCAAGCATATGTTCGATGGGCCTTGCGGTTACATAAATCTCCCTCAGGTACCCTAAGAAGAAATAACCTTCCATGGTGTAGGTAGCAGGGAAATGTCAACTGCCGTCACAACCCTGTCAGCACTCAAGTTTCTTCAGATGAACCTTAGGTACGTCTAACATCACAGGAATTAACCTCTGGAGGTCATCTGGTTGGTTTGGAGTATGAATACGATGCTGTTCTCCTAGGTGAAGACGCTGAAGCACTGTTGGAGCAATGTTGAGGTTAGGAGAAGGGTACTAGGCAAGACAGGCAAGTCGATTGATGAGGTTGTGAACCTTAGTCTACTGAGATGTCTTAGACATCTACTGTGCATATCGAGACACCGGCTTCTTCAACGTGCCATGCTAGGGGTAGTTGGATTAGGTTGGAAGGCGGTTCAGGGTGGCCAGAATAAGACGTTACACCAGTGCATGAAGTCCCTAACTGTTGGTCTGAGCTGAGGGGAGAGATGTAGACTACCTGGTTAGTGTCCACGAGGCGAAAAGAATGGGTGGTTGAGGACTCTTGGTGACATGGCTGAAAATCAGTTACCGTAACGCAGATCTGTTCACTCCTTGACATCTAAAGCTTAAATATTTACACTAACCTTTATCTTCAGATTGTTTATTCTTTCACACAACTTTGTCTACTTTGTTATCACTTTTTGTCCACCTGTTCTTTGTATACTAACTACTGTAAAGTGTAGCAACGTGAACCAATGCACTTATTTTCGAGGTTCTACGTTGATTTTGTCAGTTTGTCTGTCTGATGGTAATGTAGATCTGATGTCAGACATCATTTTACTGTGCGACAAAACACTGGCTACTTCAGTCGCACTATCAGTTAGTGATCAGTGTTTGTCAGTATGCATTTTCTTTGCATTGAGATGCGAAGTAATTTCGAGAGATTCGCAGATATCTGTATTTACCCAGCCTTAATGTTAAGCCGTCAAAAATAGTCGGAAAGTTCATGTATGTAGAATGTTGAATAGGTGCTAGTGGGAATGTGAAGGATGCGATTTATAACTATATCGAAGGCAAAAATGACGTGTCGCTGTTGGTGTCACTGCAACGTCCGTCTGGTTTGTAAACGGTCAGGTATACGAAACCCCACTGCAAAACGTTCTAGTCTGCAATAACTGCGTCTAGCAACTGTACGTTCTAACACCATTGCCTCCCTGGGATCACTGGCATCCTATGTAAGCGTCGTGAAAAATTCTGAGGTTTATTGTCATGTGTTTGGGTATTGTAGAGGACATCACTCATTCAATGCAGTAATCTTTAAACAACGCGTTGCGTGACTTGAGAACATGTTACAAATGTTAACCCCATGACCTCTATATAGACTACTGTTTCCCAGAAGTGGGTTCGTTTGGAACTAATAGAAGTGATGAGTTTATCACGTGGTGTCATGGGATGAAGAATATTTGTGTTGTGTTACTATTTATTGTTGCATCACAACTTCTGTGAGGTTTTGTAGAGCATACGGATTTTACTGGAAACGCTGTCAGATAAGGTTCAAAATCGAAACTGTCGATGATCATACTGTAGTTTTCTTGTTTCTTTTGTCATGTAAAAGTTAAACGGAGGTAATTAACACTTCTCTGCATATATCTTTCAGTCTGCTTCTCTGATAGTATCTTAACATTTCTCCTACCGTGTATTCAAAAAGGTCAATTCTTCAACAGCACCTGTTTGGATTGTGGCTACACCTTAGTGTATGCTAATCTTGTCTTGCTTTCTGGTTGTTAGTGAAATCGTTTTCTATACGTAGTATTGCAACCAACAAGACCGATACGACCGAATGTAGCTAGTGTGCCCACTTCAGGCTTAAAATAACGTTTTACTAAGCAAGAGATCTCTGGAATTTCCTTGCAACATTTCGACGATCTTGAGTTCATTTTGGTGCATTGGCAACACAAAAGTACGCTACTTACTCAAAAGATTTCAGTCTTTACAAAGATTGTCAAGCTAACTGATCACAACTGAGATCAAAGAAACAGTTCTATATGGTTTAGGGATTTTTAATGTTGTTCTACTTCTCTTTACATATTTCAGCCTGGGCAGTTGGATAGTATTAAAAGTTTTCCTAAAGCAAGTATGGACCATGTATTTGTGTATAAATATGTGATGGGTTGTGTTATGTGTATCGATTGCTACATTATTTTGAATGACTTTCTGTGTCATCAGTTCAAACTGACAGTTTCTTAATAGTCGCAGTTGTAGTTCGTATTAAATACTGAGTCACCTTACGTTTAATTGAATTGTTTCATTGCTCAGCTGCTCTTCAACCAGTGAGTCATAGATTCAAACGCCACATTGCCTAATGAGAGGCTTAAGCGACTGGAAAACTCCTGAAAGTGTGAAGTCCCTGTCTGTATATTATCATTGTGGAGCTGCAGCTCAGAGGTTTAGTCAGATGACTACCAACTATTGAGTCATGAGTTCGAGCCCCGCCCCACCTACCGAGGTTTGGGCTTATTACCTATTGCACGGGTGTGCGCAAGGTAGCTAAGTGCTTTTCGTTCGTTTATCGTATATTATCATTACATATTGTTTTTTCTTTTTGCAGCTATCGCCGGAAAGCTCTCAGAGTCGGAGTTCGAAGATATTTTGCAAAGAAACAAAACAGTTTCATCGAGTGCAATTAATAGAGCTGTTCAGGATGCTGCTGGTGGTGATTACGCAAGCGCTATCGAGACGCTGGTAACTGCCATTTCACTTATCAAGCAATCAAAAATAGCTAATGATGATCGTTGTCGAATCCTAATCAATTCTCTTCAAGATACTCTGCATGGGATTGAGTCGAAGTCTTACGGAGCTAAGTAAGGTCATCCTTTATGCCATTGATTTGTTCTTTTAATCGACAACCACTGCCTGTGATTTTGAATAATGCTTACTAAGTGGGACTTTTAGTTTTAAAAAAGTTTCAATGTTGTCTCCTTATGCGCAGTTCTATAGGTAGTGCACAAGGTGGTAGTTTACAGAATGGTAGAAATAGTAACTTAAAACACTTTTCGTTTGTTGGGCTTATTGAGATTTTTTTGACTATCGGGCTTAATGAGCCCCAAGCGGCACTGAACACTTGGTAGCTGAAGTAGTAGGTGCATGACATGCTTACAATAAGTTATTTAGTTTCTCGAACATGTTTTTTCATTTTGTATTACAACCGGTGGTACCTTTTCGTCTGAATGTGTTTTAATGGACACAAAGTTTTGTCGTTCAGTGTCCTCTGGGAAACAAAAGTGGTAGGAAGTTGATATGAATTTTTACCTCGTGGTAATTATTCTACTTTGGAGATATCTTTGTCGCCGATATGTGTATCCTCCATAGTTGAAGATGGTGACATTGTTACTAGGTGTGGACAATGTGTTTAACTTGGGATTTCGTTTCATATGCAAACAACCTTGCATATCGTTCCGTATTTCCGATGTAGCATTCGTTAATATTGTCTGCATATTGTGAATAATTCTCAAAATCCCAATGAGTGGAAACCGTTTGTTTTGACAAAAGTATGTGGTAGACATTTTTTCGAAAACTCGTGTTCAAGACAGAACTTCGTTATGTAAATTTAGCTTTCTGGTTGAATTTTTGTTGCCCAGCCTAATCTGCATGTGTCTAAAATGTATATCCTCTTTTTTAGGGGGATGTATCATTGATCTTTCTAATTTTTTGACAATATTCTGATAAAATGTTGCCATTTGGGCTGGGCCTAGTCACTTGACAACTTACTAATTTCCTTTCTTGATTATTTTGTAGAGTTTGGTTTTTTTGTTGACTTATCTAGTTAGATAGCTGTATCGCGTCTGGTTTTTCCTTAGTGTTTCGTCTTAAGCTTATTCACCACCTTGATTATGCGATGCTGGTTTGGGTGGGGTTACTTTGGGTAACCTTTAAGGACGATAAAATGCAACACAACAGTAAGCTGTCAAGTCGGTTATCGATAGATCAGATCGTATGTGTAAATCTCCTGCTTTTGTCGATGGAAAAATTTGACTTTTGTTCCCTCTCTTCTGCGTTTTTGAAGAGCTTAAGTAGATGGATAGGTTTTATCGCGTATTATTATTAGACAGCCTAACAACATATATTTTGTGGTAGATTTAACAGTAAAATGCTTGTCTTGAAAGTTGCTTGCTACTCTTATTGCATTTTTGAACCATAAGTATTAATCTGTTGGTTGGTTGATTTCCTATGTGATAGTGGAAATTTGACGATATTCCTTAAAGCAATACTAATATCAGTAGGGTTACACAGCGATACCATAAAAGCAGCTTTTGAAGCTAATTTTTTGTTTCGTTTTTTATCCATAGTTCCATTATGTATTGGAAATCTTGCGACTTTCCTTGTTTAATTATTTATGGAATCAAAATGACCTTCATATATCATTTTAATGCTAGTCGTTTCTTTCTTTCTTTCCTATCAGGGGTAGTAGTCGAAGACGTCGCCGTTCTTATAGTGACAGTGGCAGTGATGTTGGTGAAGGAAATTATAATAATTCTGCTGGGGGGAGTAATAACAACAGTTCTCGCCGTCACAGAGATAGGAATCATAGATCTCGATCTCGTGATCGGCATGACCGACACGATCGTCATGATCGTCGAAGACATTCGCGTGACCGAGGATCTAGCAGTGGGAACGCTTACTACGGTATGAGTTCCAGTCTCTCACTTTCTGGTGGATCAGGTTTATCTGCAGTTCAGCCAGTGGATAGTTCTGGACAAGCTTGCTCTGGCACCCTAGGTGGTGGAGTCGATCGGTATCGTGAAAGCAGATACCGACATTAGTTCTTGCTTTGTCCTTCATTATTCACTCACTTTAGTTACCAATCTGGTGACTGGTGTAGCTGTATTTGTGTTTCCTAATTAACTTTTCAGTATGTCATTTATTATCCCAAATCATCTGGTTGTACAGTTTGGTCATGTTTCGCTAGTGATTGAGTAACTGACTTCATTACAACTAGCTTTTATGCTAGTTGTTTTCGTTATACTGGTAAAATGGAGCTCAAAAGTTTAACAGGCAAGTATAGTCCCATGATATTTAATTTTTAATCTTTTTAGCTTATCCATTCTGTGATCCGGTTAACATTGCCGCCTTTACTTTGGTATATTTAAATTGTCATACTGTACATTGTTTTCTTGTTATCCTTTAACGTTATTACTTTGTACAAACCATTTGTTAAAGTCTGTGTTTTGGTTCGCATGTACTATAAAAGGTTGTTGATATCGAATGACCATCAGTTAACTTACCAATGAGTGTATATGTAATATTCAAACTTCTCTCTTGACAGATGTGTAGATATTTTACCAGAGAAATTTGTTCACTGTACATTTCTGATCTATTTATATAATATGTATAACAGTTTCTGTTTATTATGAAGACAACCAACAGATTGTTTCTCATGGCACTGTCAAGCCAGGGCATCCATATTAATGTGTGCGTCAGTTGTCGCCAATCTTATAAACAGAAACTTATGCGTGTAGAAAGTCTTGAGTGTATTTGTTCAAACTCGCTGTAAATAGTTTTCTCGAAAGCTTTTGTTTCCCCCGTTATGCCGTTTGTATATTATAGACTGACTAAAATCACCTTTTCCTGTATATATATGTGTGCTCATGTTGACTCAAATGCCAATTGTAAATAGTTTTTCGAATAAAACATATAACTAGTCTTCTTGATGAATATACACAACTTTTACGCGTTAGCACATTCACTGTCTTTTTAAGATGTCTAATCTTATTTTTTTTCTTTCTTTTTAGGTGTATAGAAGTCGTTTCATACTTGTTCTAATATTGTTTTTATCTGAAATATACCTTTCAGTTAAAAACTGTGTATCTTCTATTTTCCTAATGATTAATTGTTACCTAGAATAAATATCACAAACTTATTCCTAAAGAGGGAATATCCGTCATCATGGTGTTTCCTTAAATAGGATTTTTTGATGTTGAGATACCCGATTTGTTCGAGTCTTTTGTTTGTTGTCTGTACATGTTCACATAGATCTTATGCGAATTGGATTTATCCATAAATTTCTTTTAGTGAGTTGTTGGTATTTGCATGTAGCTCCAATTTCTGTAGGTTTGATCGTATAGGTGGGGCAGTTTAAGAAACGAAATTGAGGTGGGATTCAGCTGTTCCTAGGGGATTAAATCAGATAGGTAGATTTAAATCAAACGAAGTGGTTGTACCCATATGCGAAATAAACCCTGATGTTCGTTTGAGACACATTGCTGTCGTTATTTTAGGTAATGGAACACCACTTATCCTTTCAACTAACCATTGTACTTATATGTGTGAACTGGGGTCATTGTTTCAGTTATTTACCTAGTTTATACTCAGTTGATAATCACTACAGAAATTGATTTAGATTATGATTGCTCGTTTTTAATATGCTTTAATATCAATATATCACAGCTTTGCGTTGTCGTTTTGTAATCATATCAAAGCTGCTATTAAGCTATTGAAAATAATGTTGGGCTTATGCTTGATGTGTTGGATGTCTGGGTCGTAAATTATCATATACAGTCGGCTGATCCCTTTACAAACTGCACCGTTCATGTTGGTATTTCTCATATTGGAGTAATTTCTCAAGTACTGAGCTGTAGTGTCGATACTTTCTTTGAAAACCATTAAGTCAGTATCGTAAAATGTCACCTCTGACACAAAAATCTGATTAACGTAATCTGCAATTGAACAAGATGAGTAGTCAGGATTAACACTAATCTGCATATTTTAGTAGCTAGATGAGAGTAGTCGTAACGGTGGACTGTCGTTTCACTTGTTTCTGCACTATTTTATCAGTTATGTCCTCGAAAAGATTCAGCTTTTTTGATTTTTTCTAATGATGGTTTGTTATATCTGGAAGTTGGTTCAGTCTTCTCATTTGAGAGTTCTGCTATTCACAAATGCGTTTAGTGTGTTTTGTGTTGTGATGTAAATGGTCGTACAGGAGATCGCTGGTTTTCATACATTTTTGTGTACCAAATTGCTACCCAAATTACCTTATTCTTTCATTTGGAATTCCACTTTATTTCTTATTTCGCTCCTTTCAGCTCACTTTTTGTGGTAAGACAGTTTTTGCATGCTGCATGTCTTCCTGTTTACATTAGGTATCAAATGACAAGAGACAGTCTTACTGTTGTTTTTCCGAAACATGTATAGAGTACAATGTATTGAAATTATTGGATACTCTGTCGGTTGGTTGGAGGCAATAAGCACGAAGCCCTGAACCTGGGTTTTGTGCTTGTTGGCACTTGTCAGCAAAGCGTATCTGCAACCTCGACGGCACTGACGTCCCACCTGAGGTTCGAACCCGCGTCACTCAGTGTTGTAGTCGGAATTTATTCTGAACTCAAGACTACACAACATGAGATTGGCTTCTCTCCGTGACCAGTCAATGCAAAGTGTGTTGAAAAAAGTTTATTTATTGGGTTGTGTTTATAGTTATCGTATCGGTTTTGTAGACCCTAACACTTACGGGAGATGAGATTTTAAAGATAAATCCATGGATTTACAAACACACAAATGTTTCACTCTACAAAGATTAGTGCACTCACTGGGCTTTCAAGCTATTAGTACCATCTTTTTGATCCTTTTGAAGGAATAGCTTCGGTTAATAATAGTTATCTTATGTAGATAGGGTTTCAAGAAACTTGTATATTGGTATCTGTGTAGTGATAGAACGATAGTCAGTAACCAGTAGATTCTTTCACACCTAACTCTGACGTAAACGGTGTGATTTTGTTAAAGAATGTGTGTAAATCACCGTTGAAAGTTTGTGATCAGATCTATTATCTTGAATTTGCTGCATTTAGTTATTGCAAGCTAGTTTTAATGGCGTTGGAACTGAATGGTAAACCTATGGCATACGTGCAACGTTTGAAAGGAATTTGATTCCATAGGATGATGCGTCCTTCTTTATTATGGTTAAGAAAGTTGAAGGGAACAGTTTTTGCATCCCAATAAAACATACTACTAGACAGTCTACTTAAGTAGCACAATAATAAGCGTCTAAAAGACCCATTTTGAAACAAGCAGATTTCGACTGCATGAACTAGTTCCTACAAAATCGACGGCTTAAGAGGTAGTTAATTGATGCACTTTATGCTTGATAGGCAAATATACTGTCAAAGTTTTGTATCTAGAACATCTTTCGTTATCTGATAGCGAAAGCAGTTTCAACCTTATGACTATTTCGCAAACAAATCTTCGTGACTGGATAAGTCACTCAAATCTCAGTGAAAATAGGTGTTCGGTACCGAGTTTCTGCTAAAAAAAGGGAAAGTTCTGAAGGAAGAGCTTACCTTGTTAGTGTACCGATAAAGTGTAATAATGGAAGCACCCAGCAGGCATTTTATATTGATTATTCCTCGACACGAACCATCTCGTAAACGCTTACAACAGAGTTGGATTTAAATTATTATTTGTCCCTTGGATTCCTAGTGGAATATAAGGCTTCAGTAGCACGTCGCCATTGCATTCTGTTCTCTGCAGTCTGCTTAACCTGGCTCCACCACTGCCCAGAAGCTTTCATTTCTTCCTCACACCATATCCTCCATGTCACCCTCGGACGCTCAACTCGTCGTTTCTCATTTGGATTCCACTCGAGGGCCTGGTGTATGATGTCTCCGAACGGTCTACTCAGTGTATGTCCAATCCAATCCACCTCCACTTACTTCTGCATATTTGTTGGGCGATAACTTCTTGCTTCATTGTTTCGCTATCAGGTTACAGTTCCTTGTTGCTTATTCTTATTACTCTGGCCATCTGATCTTCAGTATCGAGTGAACGAGCGTAGGCAGCAGCTGTTCATGAATGTCTGTAGTTCGTTGCAAATGCTTTCCGTGACGCGCCAAGTCTCTCAACTATCTCTCACATTGAATCACTGACTTGACTGACATTAGTGTTGAGAATCCGGATATTGTTCACGCTTAATGCTGAGTGGAGTGGAGTAGATCTCCACAGTAATTTCAGACTAATGAAGGTCTGTCTCGTTGTCTTTCCGATCCTGACTTTTAAGTCTTCATCTGTGCCATCGCCGCCTGTAGTTGAAACGATGCTGCCTGGGTAGATGGGTAGGTGAAAGAGACTACTTCCTTTAGATTTCTCCCGTTGATGATGATTGATGCCTCTTTTTGTTGATGCTGTTGTTGTTTGGGTCTTCTCTACGTTCACTTGAAGTCGCATCTTCGCTGCCCTGCCTCTTCTGTCAACTTGTTAGTTTTCGCCTGTAGATCTTCGAGTTTGTGCGATAAGACATTAGACATAAATTGTGATCAGCGAAATCCAAATCTTCTAGGGTCTTCGCATAGGTCCAGCCAGCGTATGCCCGTCTTCTCGCTCCTCACGGTTTGCTGCATGATCCAGTCCAGTCCAGTTTAGTCGACCACAATCAGGAAGATCATCGGTGATAGTAGGCAGCAACCTTCTCTTACTCCTGTCCAAACTTCAAGGCATCACTGATCTTTCCATTGTCAATCACGCGGCATGTGGCGTCTTCATATAGCTGTTGAATAATGAGGCTGATAAAGGTTTGTGACACTAAAACCGTAGCGTTGAAGTAGCTGCCTGCCAAATTACTTCTCGGTCGATGCTGTCGAAGGTCTTCTCAAAATCGATGAAGTTGAGGTAGAGAGTTGACTGTAATGATGCGTAGCGTTGCAATTTGACCCACACATGATTTGCACTTCCTGAATCCAGCCAGACTGTTGCGGTAGTAAATTTGAATCTAGTGCATGTTTTAGTCGCTCCAGGATGATGCGACCTAATAATTTGCTTGCTTCTGGTGGAC